ATGAATAGGTCCTCTTTGAAAAGAAAAACCAAGCAGTTCCTACCAAAAGTGAGAGAAAGATTTATTTGCCAAGGATCCCTTGCCAACATTCATAACAGAGGGCCAAATCATGTGTTAATTTGACTTCTCATCCCTGGCCCTCCCACTCATTTGAAAACTCATCTTAAATTAGTTCAAACACCGGCTCTGAGGGTTATGGAAATTCATTCCACCAGGCAGGCGCCAATTGGTAATTAATCCATGACCACATAGTGAGAGAGAAAATAACACAAATCACCATTTCAACTGCAGATAGGAATGCACAGGGAACTGAATGCTTAATCTGAGATGTTTCCAAAAGGGAAAAACAGCCATTATCAAAAGAATGAACAGAGATGTTTAAGGGCAGGGGTAAGAAAGTTATGCTTATGGTACGAGGGTCACAATTACTATATTCCACCCACTAAAAAGGCATAAATAGCTGGCAAAATGGGACCAGCCAATCTAGTAAGTGTCCCATTGTCCTTGTAGCAGTGACTTAAGAGCAGTTCATTTAGACAGATTGTGTTTGCAGGGAATGGTTGCTAATTTCTTTCAGTGTCATTCTTTAGCCAGGGAAAGGTTCTTATGCGTGAGCAACATAACATTTACTTACCCCATTATAGGCTGAAGGTTTTATAAATTAGCACTGGGACAGCCAGTGATAATCAAAGTCTCATACAAGAAGACCACAACAAATACTCTGTACAGCAATTACCGTATTTTTCCATCAATAAGACGCCCCCATGTACAAGACGACCCCCACTTTTCCAACCCAAAATTAAGAAATCTAATTACTAAATAAAAATGTGTTCTGCACTATCTTTAAAATATTGATTTCTTAATTTTGGGTTGGAAAAGTGGGGGTCGTCTTGTACATGGGGGCGTCTTATTGATGGAAAAATACGGTAATTACTAAATAAAAATGTGTTCTGCACTATCTTTAAAATATTGATTTCTTAATTTTGGGTTGGAAAAGTGGGGGTCGTCTTGTACATGGGGGCGTCTTATTGATGGAAAAATACGGTAATTACTAAATAAAAATGTGTTCTGCACTATCTTTAAAATATTGATTTCTTAATTTTGGGTTGGAAAAGTGGGGGTCGTCTTGTACATGGGGGCGTCTTATTGATGGAAAAATACGGTTTGCAGGCGCAGTTCTCTCCTCGGCTTACTTCCTTGAATAAGACGCCCTTCAATTTTTAGCGTAAGGATTTTAGAAAAAAGTATCGTCTTATAGTCGGAAAAATATGGTAGTTCACTGGAAACTGAGGGGTTACTTTTTTTCCATGATGCCAAAAGTATTTCCAAAATATAGCGGTCTGAGCCAAAGGTCAAGCTGGCTAGGAATGATGGATGCTATAGTCCAACTTATCTACCTGCATTCAGTGATTAAGATGTTGTAGCACTGAGATTATAAATCTCAGTTTAGGAGCCAAACCACACAGTTCATTCAATGGGTGATTCACTAAATGAGATACCTGTTTTTCGTTCTTTTGAACAGAACTGCAGGTCACACAGGGAGGGATTTCATTCTTGCCCTGGGCCATGAGATCAGGAATATGCAGTTTCTTTTGCCGCCATAATGTTTCTAGAATGGACGAAGACTGCAGTAGATAAGGAGATATACAAAGGGGGGAGGGGGGGCTGGATGTTCTTTTTTTTCCCCCTGATTTGGGTGGGGTGGGGGGCTGTGTATTTTATTATCCTAAACTGTATTAAGCCTTTCTGAAGTCTATGCTACATACGATGCCCATAATTACTTGGTAGAAGGGGGCTTTGTGGGCAGCAAAGGAGGGGGTTGAACTACACTACAGCTTTCCAGTTAACATATAGCTTATAGCTAAAATGAGAATCAAGCTTCTAGAATCAGCAATGCAGCCATTTTCAAAGACTTCAATTATTTACTGAATAGCACCAACATGTCCAAATGGTAAGCTCTTGCTATACATTTGTAGTGTTCAGAAACACTAACTTCTACTGATGATAACATCACCAAGAAGGAGTGTCTGCAAAATAAATTTAACAACAGGATCCAGATAAAGGAAATATGTAAATGTATTTGCTGTAATATCCATCTCAACCTGTTCATTATATGTTAGGATTTCTGTTCAGGGTAGGATCACATTTTTCTGTTCTTGCTCTCATACATTCTGAGGTGTGTCAAAAGATATAGTTCAAGCTATACATTTTTCCAAACTCTAAATCACTTGACTAGATATCACCAAAACTTTATTTTGATGATTCCCAGTGACGCGTGGATAAATACAGAATTACTTTCTTGATAACAGAAGCTGAACATGGCATTTTCAAGCTTCAGATTTAGGAGCATGAGAAAAATATTTTTAAAAAAATAAGTATGAATCACTGGTTTTAAAAAAATACATTCTAGGAGCTTATGGCTAGGGGACCATTTTCTTCAAATGAGGTACTTCTTTTCTGGAAAAACACCATGAATAGCTTTCAAAAGTATTATCTGTGAAGCAGTGTTTAGATGAGGGATGCTCCCTCAAGAGCTCCACTTGAACGCAATAAATTGGTTACAAAGCCTTGCATCTCTTCTTTGAAGGTTTGTGGCAGTCAGATCAATATTGCTCTTGACAAATTGCAAATCCAAGAAACTGTTCTGAGCAGCTGTTAATGTTTAGGGATTCCCCCCTCACCCCCGACAACACAGCTGACCTCTTTTAGCAGAGCCTAGTTTGCCTATGTTTTTTAAGGGGTCAGGAAGAGTAGAAAGGGGATAAAGACATGGGGTAGCCTCTTTCATCAGCCAAGTTGCACACCTCTAAAACTTGACCCAAATCAGTGTTCTAGTAAGGCAGAGGTGCACAATATTTTTCATGCCAAGGGCCAGATCCAACCTTTGACTGCAAGCTGATGGACATGTTCCAAAAAGGTACATCTGATTTCATTTAAATGGATAGGTAATTTAAATTATTTTTTGTTATCCCACTTACTCTCCAGTTCCTAATTCATAATTTCCCCTGCCATCATATTAATGTCTACAAATTTATAAAACTTATAGAGTTCTTTGGATTCCACCCAAGGCTTTCAGTTGGGGACTCAGGTTGTACACCTGGGCGATAAAACAGCAAGCTTTTAAACAGCCCCAATCCCCCTGTTTTTCAAGTACACAAACTAACTTTGGTGGAAATGTTCTCTGTGCTTCAACTGAGAAGCTCCCTCCCCTTATGCCCTTTAACATTGTCTGTGACAAACTAACCTTTTTAGCCACGAATGCTGAACATCAAGCAAGAATACCCATCAGAATCCCACTACTGTTTACAAGACTTGGACATGGTTGTTGGAGACAAACAGTTGGGGAGAGAAAAGAGCACAGCTGTGTAAAATGAACAGAAAAACAGCAGGACTCCCTTAAGAAAGAGAAATGGGAAATGGTTAGTAAAGGGATCCTCAGAGGTAGAAAAATCAATCAAGTGAAGAAAACTGCTCTCTGGGTTAGGAAGGAAGAGTAAGATTTGAGGAACCAAGAAAGAAAGGCTAAACTGAAAAGAACAATGATGAGAGTGAGAAAGCCTGTGATCCACACTTACAGAATTAAAGTATGAAAGTCAAATGAATGTTTATTCGCAAACTGCTTGTCACATCAGCTCAGAGATCTGTAACTGCAGTGCTACTGGTACAAAAATGAAATCCAAGCAACTGCGAACCAATCCAAATGTGCAAATACTGATTTTATAGGACAAGAATGGATTTGGTGTGCAATTTCTGCATCTCGGTTGGGAAATGGTCTGAAAACACAAGGCAAAAAAGGTGTACAAATACCAGAGGAACAAAGGGACAACCAAAAATGGTTCTTCCTTAAAGTATTCTTTGAACTTGACTCAAGCCTGCAGGGTCAGAAAGAAAAGTGGACTATCTTGGCCACGGATACTTCAGTTTCCTATTCCAGATATCATACATATTCATGACCCAAAGAGAAGGGAGTGTCCATTGTAAACAGTGGCAACCATCCAAAGAGCTGTTTAGATTCACTCCTGAGGCCTTGTGCAAGCACAGAGGAATTTTTCACTATTTTTGCTTTCAACAGATGTGAGACCACATGCCATATCTGAAAGTGCTTTTGGAATTCCCCCATTTCTACACTCATTTGCTATGCAACATTATGAGAAGGGGAGGCCACTGCAACGTGGAAAAGAAAAATAAATTTTGCATCAACCCTATTCCCCCACAAAGAATCTGGGGTTGCCCTTTTTCAAATTGCAGCTAGCTGGCCTGAAGTTCACTTTAAAATACTTTTAAAGTACAACTTTAAGTAGGTTTTAATACAGGTCTAATAGTTCTAAGTAACTCCAGGGATCTTCCTGGCAGTAGATAAACAAATGACTGGCTCAATGTCTCTTCTATTTCTCCAAGGAAAAGGAAAGATAGCTGGGATAAAGAATTAATGATACCAGTAAAGTCAGTGCGGGATCTTAAATTAAACATCTTTCCCAAAGATATGTTTTCTTCAGGAAAGAAAAAGAAAAACTAATTAAAATACAGTTTATTATTATTACCATATCAGTCTATTCATAGACACACAACAGCATGGGCTTGGGAAAATCCATCATGAAACCTGCCTAAAAAAAAAAAGGATGAACTCTAATGGGACTGTTTCATCCTCTCCTTCCCAATGCAAACCCCCAATTCTACTTCAGACTTTTGGAGACTTTTTGGAACAGATATTGAGTGTATGAGGAGAACTGGAAAACTGTTCTCCTTCTGATTCTGCTGAAGAAAATAATTCATCAGATTTCATCAATAATGCTGCAATCTGTCTTAATCAAACTTGGGGTCCTCTATATATATGGTAACAATATCCAGAATTCTCAGCTAGGAGAGCTATAGACCATGTTAACTAGGAATTCTGGGAACTCTAGGCTAATTGCAGCTGTAGAGCATTAGACCAGGGAAATCTGCACTAATCAAATAACATCCCATTAAAGAGGCTTTGTTTTTGTTAATTCATTACTTACCTGATAACTTTTCAGTCTAACAAAGTCAACTTTCATGGAGATGAACCTTTCTGAGTTCCTACTGAGGTTCTTAATATGCTCCACGAGATCAGCACAGAATTTGTAACCACCTTTAAGTACACAGAGAACCACAATATCATTGAATCCAACGTCTTGCATGATATCTTTGGCCAAACGTTCTATCCTAAAGCAAGAATTAAAGACATATATAAGGTAAGACTTGGGTTTCTCCAGTTCACACATCTTTTTTGGTGCAACACAACTGTATTCAACTTCATACACAGTTACATTTTAAAAACAAATTCATTTTGATTCCTCCTGTAGTGCATAAAAAAGGGTTATTTGCTGGACTACCTCTCCTTGAGGATATCTGCCTGTTCTACCAGAACAGACAGAGTAGGCATGCTCTAGCTCCCTTCCCTTAAATGTTGCTATCAAGTGGGACCTAGGAAATGTGCCTTTTCTGTAGCAGCCCCCATTGGAACATCCTTCCCTTGAGATCCAGCAGGCCCCACCCTCTTAAAAGAGGGGGCTATTCTCCCAAGCATTGGGATAGGTTGAAGTTAAAGTTGGAAGAATTCTGTGGCTAAGTTAAGGGAGACTGGTTGTGGCACCAGGTTTCTTTGTTTTTATTATTTTTTGCTTACATGTTTTATGTGGTGTTTGGTTTTATATAACTGTTGTGAGCCACCCAGAGTTGTGGTTTTAAGATGGGTAGCCATACAAGTATTTTAAATAAATAAATAATGGTGATTCACTAGTTCTACCAGAAATTGGCTGCAGCTGTGCCTTAGTGCATTTTGCATTCAATGCTATGCAGTAGAAACTGAAATCATCAATATTTTTTCCACTGGACTCAATAGTTTTATTATTAACATTGGCATCACTGGAGAAAGGGGACCAAAATGTTTGCTTTTTCAAGGGGGGAGGTTTGGGGGGTAGCTTTAATGCTTAATTAAAGATGCTTTAAGCCTAGCAAGGGATTGTGGGAACTATTTTCATTCTCATTTGCATGAAATCCAATGCCAAAAATCTGTAGCCCCTGAACTCTGGTGATGTAATTCTAGGGGTATCCAGTATTCTCCAGAACCTGGCTGGTCTTGACAACTAAGCAAGATCGGGCCTGCTTAGTACTTAAATGGGAGATCAGCAGGAAACCCCAGGGGTGTAGGCTTAGACCAAGAAATTAAAAAGAAAAAAAGGAAAGATGGACAAGTTAATTCTATATCATGCCAAGAAAATGGCATGTTGATGTCTATGAAGTTAGTAAGAGTACAACTCAACTCAAAAGAGACTTCATTTTAAGCACTAGTTTTCCACTCCTGAACTACAGTATATCTATATTTGAATGAGCACCACCTTTTCAAATTCCAATGCTACTATCTGTTACACTGTCTCATTTTTGCCCAAGATTATCAGAATTCTTATACACATTTTCACAACTCGGAAGCATGTTTCACATGCAACACAATTTAAGATTCCTCTGTCAACACGTAGCACATTTTCACAGCTTATTATACCAGATCTTCAAAGTATGTTGATTAGGCAGTAAGAAACACAGCAATTTTAAGGCATTGCTGTTTTTATGCATCTGGAGGCACTGAATGTTACTTAAGAGATCCTCTTTTTCCATCATTTTTCTCTGCACCTTGAGTTACATCTTAGACATTTAGCCTCTAGGCCATTATTAACATTCGAAGTGTCTCACACACTAAGAATTTAAACTATACTCCGGAGGACAGGTCATCATGGCATACTCCCCATCCACCAAGAACAAAAGCATATTTTGACAGAGTTTATTTAAAACTGTAAATTATTGTTTGAAACAGGCAAAGCTCCCAGCGTCTCTCACCATCAACTATGTTGGCTAAGGTTGCTGAGTGTTGTGGCCCACCCGTCTTAAGGCATGAAACATAAAACAGACATTTTCCCACTTAGTCTTCTACTTAAACACAGCCATCGAGAACAGTGCAGAATGGATAGATTTGAATATTTATGGTTTAAATTTTCACTTCCAAAATGTAACATCATTGGATTTCTTTGGATGTGTCACAATTGATTGGTTCAAACATGCTAATAAGTTTAACTAAACTAGATTTTGAATCAGTATTGCACCGAACCCAGCCACTGTAGTTTATTCCACCAATCATGGTTACATCCAACCATGGTTTAGAACAAGTTGTGAACCTAATCCCTCTACTAATTGGCAAAAAAACTTGCTTGGAGCAAATTAATATATCAGAAATTAGAACCCCTGGTTTTAAATGGATCTGCTACCCCTGTTTTATAGTAACAATATTTAATTTGACATCTGAATTCACACTCTGGAATTTCAGCTGCTCCTCTTTGTCTGGGAAGTTCTGAAGGACAGAAATGAAGAGAGACTTACAAAGAGACTTCTCAAGCTATCTGCTGAAAGGACAAAAATGAAAATGGACAAGCAACTCGAAGCTATGATTAGTTATTGTAGGATTGTACATACAGAGAATATAAAGCCCAGGTTTTTAAATCCACCAGAGATTTTTACCTGTCAACAATGATCCCATGTGGTATAAGCACATAGTCAAGGTCTCCACAGTAATGCTGTGGATATGTGAACAGATCCAAGCTATATCCTGGCCAATCATCTGAAATCTGTAAGCAGATACAAGTTGGTTAAAATGCACACTTTTGTACTGCACTGCAAATTTATTACCACGCTTATCTAAGAAGTAGGCTTTTCAATATGGAGAATGGAGCAATATGGAGAATGGGAGATTATTAAAATCTTGGTGCTACCAGTGTGTTGGATTTTATCTCCCAGTGAGTTCACTGGCTAGAATTTCCAGGAATTTGTGCAATTATTTTGAAGCAGCAGGGCAGAGGAGGCATATCTAAATGGATTAATCCAAAAATCAACCAAGGCAAAGAAAAATCTGGCTTCAGATTCTAGCAGATCAAGAGATAATGATGTAGTTTGTTTAGCTTAATTTTATGTGTGAATCCAGTTCCTGTGGCTTATTAACAAGACAAGCTATGTTTAAAAGAAATTATGGCTGAACACAATGGCTGGCAACAATGGTGCCAATGGACATGAATGCATCTATTAAGACCCACTCTCCCCTCATAAAATGGCTTCTATCCTCCTCAAAATTGGATTCAAACTCATTTTTTTTATAATTGGCAACATTGGACAAGACAGACAAATCTGACCAATTTTGACATTCTTAAATTCTGACGATTCCAAAATTTCCAGCATTCATTCATCATATTCATATAGCTACCCATCTCACATAAAAGTGATTCTGGGCAGAGTCCAGAGGATTTTCAGGGAAAGATGGTACCCAGGACCAGAAAATATTGCTGACTCCTAGCTTAGCACTATGCATGAACCAGCCAATGTATTTCATGCAGAAGTCTCTTTGAGATGCCTTGGATTTATGTCAGTACAACACTGGGATTGCATTGGACATCTTATGCTTTTTTAATATGTTCACAAGA